CTATTATTCCAATCTGAGTAGGGAATCTTGGGGGAAGGACAAAAAGTTAAGTTGGTATCTTCCCCTGCTGACATCTCTGACTCTGATTTTGTTCATGTTGCTTGGAAATGTGTATATTTGCATCTCCTGCATTCCTCCAAAGGTCTGCCAGGATTCTCGTCTCTAGCAATAAATTTATCACAGCATCTTTATAATAAATAAATTAGGCTGATTGGATCATCTCTCTAAACCTTCATACTGAGTTTTATGGATCTATGAAGGATCTATCCATTTGTTCTTCACCATAATATGCTCTAATCCAAGGGTCTTCAAACTTGACAGCTTTAAGACTTGTGGACTTCAGCTCCCAGAATTCCTGGGCTAACATGACTGGAGAAGGAATTGTTTGGGCAATGATAAGATCCATCTTCTCACCAGTTCGGGTAAGCCCAAAATCTCCTATTCTACTTGATATGCTTCCCTTATGGATTTCTGCATCTCTAGTATTCATTCTCTAATAACATCTATCCTTTGGCATTCAGGAACTCAGCAGTTGCGGATTTATCTGGAAGATTTCAACAGTTCCACAACCTTTGCAACATATTCCAGTTTCAGAATTGCAAATGAATGTCAAAATTAGAAACTAAGCGTGAGTTCCTATTTAGGTGGCAACATGCGTGAGTAATACAGAGAATGCTTCTTCATTTGAGTACCTTTTCACAACGAATGTAACAAATATAAATGTCACATGACCTGATGCAGAATGCAGAAACATTTTAATCCAGGATCTGCTTAATTCCTTTGTGGCCTATCACTGGGACAATGATTTGGCCACATATCCTCTGCAAACTGCAAATATGAACCAAGAACATCATTCACTGGAGTGAACAAAACTTCCATCCTGCTCCTTCTAGTTCATATCAAGGGAAAGCTTATAACCCTTCAACTGATCCAGGAAACAAAATGTGATCCTGGACTCAGCCAAGTTGTCCATATTTTGGCTTAATGTATTAACAGGTTTCAATCATTCTGGTTTATCAATCATGATCACAGTGGTATATTCAGCCACTCAGGTTAAGTTGACCACGATTTCAAGAAACATAAATCACTATACCACACATTGAATAATCTTGATTGGGCTGACTAGTGATGCCAACATTCAAATCAAGGAGATAGTGCAAACAAACCACATTAATATTCAATCTCTTTCTAATTCTTGGTAGTGGAGGTGCATTTTTCATTTGTAAAATCTCCTGCAGGTTTGCATTCCTGGAATATATGAACTTAGTGCTTCCTCTGGGATTTCCTCCTTTTAGGTGATTCTTTCTCAAGGCACAATGACCATGCATTCTCTACCAAAAACAGAGACAATGATATCTATGATGGAAATTGTGCCGAAAGTTTCAAAGGAGGCTGGTGGTACATCAAATGCCACTCTTCCAACCTGAATGGCCTGTATCATACCTCTTATGCTGATGGCATCAACTGGGCTACTGGAAAAGGGTATTATTATTCTTACAAGTATGTGGATATGAAAATTAGACTACAATAAATGAAACCCCAGTTTGTCAGATTCTTCAACAGACATCACCTCAAAAGTACTAGCAGATTAATATCCTCCTCTATTTTCTAGCTGAAAAAGCAAATTAAATGCAATCAATTTTAAAACTGTTCCTTTATGTGTTCACTGGATTGTACTCTCTTAAAGTACTCCCCTTTTTAATTACATAGGGATAGCAATAGCACTTAGACTTATATACCGCTTCACACAGTGGTAAAATCAGAGGTGGTATTCAGTAGGTTCTGACCAGTTCTGGAGAACCGGTAGCGGAAATTTTGAGCTGTTTGGAAAACTGACAAATATCACCTCTGACTGGAAATTTTAAAGTATCCTTCCCCTGCCACGCCCACCAAGCCATGCCCACAGAACCGGTAGTAAAAAAAATTGAATTCCACCACTGAGTAAAATGCTACTGGTTAGGCCCGGTTCAGCCAAATCAGTAGTAAAAAAAACCTACCAGTTTGGCAGAACTGGTAGCTCTGATGATCAGCTGAGAGGATAAAGAAGAGAAAAGCTCAGGAGCGGCCCTCCCACCCTCCCCTGCACTTTTCTTTATCCTCTCAGATTATCAGCATGGCAGAGCCTCGGCTGGTGTTTGGAAAGCTGGGCACACATGTTAGCTGCACACACACACACACACACACACACACACACACACACGCACAAAGTGCGCAATCAATCACCGAACCAGTAGGGAAACTAATAGAATCCCACCACTGGCTCCCCAGTGTTTTTACAGCCCTCTTTAAGCGATTTACAGAGTCAGCATATTGCCCCCAACAATCTTGGTTCTCATTTTACCCACTTTGGAAGGATGAAAGGCTAAGTCAACCTTGAGCCTAATGAGATTTGATCTGTCAAATGCTGGCAGCCAGCAGTAAGCAGAAGTAGCCTGCAGTATTGCATTCAAACTACTGAGCCATGATGGCTCATGGGGGTGGGGTTTAAATGAATCTTTATTTTGCAAAAATGTTGGAAGAGAAAGAGAAAGGTGCTCCTGAAAATTGTGCAGCTGATATTTACCTATATTGATCTGTAATCTATAAGTAGGTAAAGTAACACAACAGTTCCTACTCATTTGTCTGTCTGTGAATCAACTTCAACATGATTCACTTGGACCTCTTAGTAAAGCACCCTTTAAAGCTTTTCATAAACCAATTGACTTTATCTGAGAATGCCATGTCAGTGTTTTTCATAGTCAAGGAAATCTGAATATAACTCAGGTCAAATCTTTAGAACCAACTTGTAAGGGGAAAAATTTGCTTCCTTTCAGCTACTGATTCAGCCACATAATTCACACTGAACAGGAAGTCTAACTCACTAAATAAATTGGTTTAACTGGTTTTGGGGACCTGGTGCTTTACAAAAGTTACAACCTTTGGGAAAGTGTTTTCAACACACATACAATGTAATTTACTACTGAGAGGAAATGCCTCCTGAAGGGAAACAAATCTGTCTCTCATCCCTAATCTGTCTGGCAACAGAGTCTTTGAATCTCCAAAGTATGACTATAATTCCTTAAAGGTTAGTCAGATGTGATGTTTTATCCTACACAATGAAGTCCCCTTTCTCCATAATTGATCCTGAGATTACACAACTCCAGAGTACTCTTTCTGTACCCCCTGTGTGAACTTCTGCAGAATTCTTCTTCAAGACTGTTTTGGAAGAGAGTTTGTTGGATACATAGAGTGAGGCAGGGTGGGGGCAGAGTGAAACAAAAGTAAATTGGAGATTAAATGGTCCAAGCCCAAAATGGCCATGCAGGATGATGCTGTATCGATTATCGAAAGATGCAGAGATGCTGAAGCACCTTGTTCCAAAGCATGAATAGAGCTTTCCTTGAGCAAGCTGAATAGATTTGTGTGGACTTGGCAGCTGGGTCAGGCTTGACTAACACTGCTGAGTTAAAGCAGAAAAACAAGCTACAAGGAACATCGATTTCTTGTGACTGGCTGTCCTGGTTGTTTGAACCTTCCCTTGACAGAGTCTGTGATGACCCAGAGCACAGTACAAAGATCACACAAACAGCTGGCAGTTCAAACTGCCCCTTTATTGCTCCAAAGTTCCCCAAATGCTCCCATGTTTCTGGCAAGTCTCGAGCAGAATGATAACAAAACCTCACACAAACCTCAAGCAGCTTCTGACTGCAACTAGTCCAGTCCAGCTCTGTTTTCACCAAGGCTGCTCAGCAATAAATCCAAAGGTATTTGGCAAATCAAGGGCAAATCAAAGGAGTTCAAGGAACAAAAGATCCAGGTAATTAGTCGAGAATGCCCACAGAACTGCAAGGACTCTTGGACAGTTCAAAAGTTGGCATGCACACTTCAGAAACTCAGCTTTTTTTCCCAACAAATGTGCCTCCCCACAGCATCTCCTTAAATCTCATCCCCCCCCCCCCCCGTGCCTTGTGAAGATGGGCGGGGCACTCTCCTCACACGTAAACTGCTCCATTTGCACTGATCACTCTGCTGAGCCCTTGGATCAGGAAGGGGTGGTCCTAACTCCTCACCTAACCTCTTTCCCTGATGTTCCTCCTGCCTCTGTTCCTCCCTGCCTGCAAGCCTTACTACTTCAGAAAAACCTTGCCTGGACTGACTCTGCCCTTCCCCAGTTTTCTCCAAGGCCAATGGAGCTGCTCTCTCTGTGTCTATCAATTCTTGTTCTAACTCATCTTCCCCTGTAGATTCAAACTCCAACGGGAGCATTGCAGAGTCTCTGGTACAGTAAGTTTTCACAAACTGGATCTTGGTTGCTGTCTTCCTTTGCTGTCTACCTTCCTTCCTTCCTGTATTGGTTTGGCTGTTCTCCTCTTCTGAGTTGAGTGTAGCTCATTTTTACTTCAAAGTCAGGCTGTCCAACAATCCCTGACCCAGACAAAATGGAACAAACCATTATTAATAAAATATTTGGAACATTTCAGTCTGTCACATGTCCCCAATGGGGGATCAAAATGTCAACTTGGCAACTATGACTGCACAATAAAGGATTCTCTGACTATTAGAAATAGCTTCTTATAATCATATGCTCTTGTCCTCAGGAATAGGACCTTACCTTCCATTAGCCTCTTCTTTGACTTGGATTTTTTTCAAACTGCAAACCCTTCTGCAGTGACTTTGGCCTGTGCATTATGTGTAAAAATGATAAGTTTCAGCTTAAGTTTCAGTGAGTAATCTGATTTTACTTTACTATCATTGGATGGTTGATTTCTCTTGCAATTCAAGATGCTATTAAAAATTTACTCCAATCTCCAGAGGCTAAGGGCATTGTTTTATGGCTGTTATTAACCCAGGAACCTAGAAAACTTGTAATTCTGCAATTATAATTATTGCAAGTGTGGCACACAAAAGATGGCTTTTTTCTTTTAGGAAAAAAAGAATTGTATAAAATCAGTGATTTACTGTTGGTCAAGTAGGAATATGGTCAACTTATCATCAATGAGAGATCTCTTGCAGGATAAGATTGGCTCACAAGATATGAATGTGCTGCTGTGTGCTTCAGAACCAGCCCAAGAGTAAATATCTTACCCTTAAAACAACAGTATCAGTTGCTTAGTGAATGTGGGAACTTGTCCAATCAGGAAAAGTGTAAGGATTTATAGGATTATTGATTAAGCCAATATGTTTTTTGGTTTGGTTTGATTTTTTCTGATACAATGTGGCTACAATATGTACATTGTTCAATATAAGGAAAGGTTGGGTAATATGATGAATATTGCAAAATTCAAGAGTACTCTTTTTTCTTAATAAACTCTGCTGAAGTTGCACAAACAGGCATTGCAAAACAGATATGGGCATATTTATCCTTACTCAAAAAATGTAAGCACTTCCTGATTTCTCTGTTGGTACAATCATTAAAAGACATATATATATATCAGATAACAAGATACCACACATCTCTCACTCAGAGAGAAAGCTGGCAAGGCAAGATGAAGCCTTGGGCTGGTTTCCACCTGATTTTCCTGGTTGCTAGTTCAAATTATGGCACTGGAGGTGCCCAGGACACTGAAGCCACTCGCTCTGCACGTGAGTTCCAGCTGTCTGTTCTTTTAGTTTGCTTCTTAGCCTCTGTGGGGTCCCTATGTACAGGAGCTGAATGTTGATATTTGGTTTCCCAATAAAGCCAGTTCATAAGAAAAGGAATACTTGCCTCACATTCTACTGCCCACAACTACTGGGAGCATGAGGACCCAGATTGTTTGAGGCAATATACTGACTATGTAAGCTACTTAGAGAGTTCTGCAAAGCACTATAAAGTGGTATATAAGTCTAAGTGCTGTTGCTATCTAGGCAGTGCTGACAAGCAGTCTTGCAGGTAAAGAGATGGCTCAGGAACAGATGAGGGATGAATTCTGGCCACAGTGAAGTTCTGTCTTAAGATTGAGCATTTCCTGAGGGTCCTAAAGACTGGAAAAAGTCCACGGGTTGTGATGCTCTTGAAGGGAAAGGACCTCCTTTCAAAGCACCAGCATCTTCAGAACGACCAATTTAATGACCAATAAGTTACTTTTTAATAAATAAAAACAGAGAATTGATCTTGAGCCACAGGGTAATTTTGAGATGGCATTTTGTATATGTTAGTTATGGGGTTTTGATAACTGTAAAACATGATTAAGATCTTTGCCTAAGTATTTGCCTGACTAGTCTTATGTATATACCTTGTATAGGTAAATATGAGAACAAGAAAGTTCAATCCTTCATCTTCTAGATACAGACAGGGCCTCCTAATGAACTGCGCTTTATGTGGAAGCCCCTGGTTTCACACTGTGTATAAAGGGCGAAGATGAGGGCTGGGCTGGTGTGGCCGTTAAATAATCAGACTAGAAATTGGGGGACCGTAAGCTCTTGTTCTGCTTCCAGAACAAAGTCATATAACCTTGGAACAGTTACTCCCTCTCAGCTCTAAGGGAAACTTCTGAGAAAGATGGCCAAGAAAGCCGCAGAAATTTGCCCAGCAGTTGCTAGCAGGAGTCCAGACTCATTTAAAAGGAAAAGAAGGGGAGAGAGTGGGGGAGGGAGGGAGGAGGAGGAGGAAAAAGGGAGAGTCAAAACAAATCAGGGGTTTTTTTTTTAAAAGAAGTATGCACTGATGCCTTCGAGAAAAGTCCTTGGGGAATAAGCCCTCTAATTTCATTCTTGCATTCTCCAACAGTCCAGGAACTGAATGTTTATGGTGGAAAATATGAGTGGAAGAAATTTTGTGTCTCTTTTACACCCTAATCACCTTGCCTTCTTTTCCACCCTGATTTTCTAGCACCTCATTCGTACTATTTCAGTTTAATGTGAACCTGTTGCTTCATCAGGAGACCATACTGCTTCTGTTCTATTTTTCATGTTGTGTCCTTTTTATGCTCTTTCTCCTATGCCAGAGCTGAAGGGCTTAATACAATGTGGAACGGACAAGATTGTTCTCCAATGTCAGGCTGGGATACCTGGAATTCCAGGTGTGTCAGGAACAAATGGATCACCGGGGCTAAAGGGTGACTTGGGTCCTCAGGGGCCCCCAGGTGAGTAAATGCCCACTAAAGATGTCATTCCAGGTGTTTTGCACAGCTTATTTGCTGTCTTTCCTTGCAACAGTGGGAAGCAAACTTTGTATTAATAAAGTTGCTTGCCTAGAAAAGGAGAAGTTGCTGGCAGAGAGACAAAAGCAATTCTCTTTCTCCCAAATGCTAGATAGAAATTTTTTAAAGACAGGTGGATTGGACCGTTTTGTCCTTTCAGGAGAATCAGCAATGCTATCAAGGATTTTTTGGTCACTAACCTACTAACTCAACATAATTTCATACAAATCAAGACTCCCAACAGCTCTGAGCTAAAATTTGAAGCCATCATCTCAAATCCAAACATTTTTCCTCTTTGATTGTTTGCTCTCTATAAGCCGTAATATTCCCATCAGTCTGGCTTCAAAAGTCTTTTGAAGATGTATTTTGATGCTCCTAAGTTGGTCTTTCTCCTCTTCTTCTTTCTCTTCTTCAGGTGAAAGAGGATCTGCTGGGGTAACTGGAAAAGCTGGACCAAAAGGAGACAAAGGAGGCAGAGGCGACAAAGGTGACAAAGGTAAATACATCTACTGATTGAAATCAGAGGTTGTGCAAGAGTTGGATCAAAGGGGAAGCACCAGCCTACCTGTATCTCACCGACCACGCTTTATTTCATGGTGTCCTTGGTTGAACTGTTTGTAATACAGAACCAAATGATGAGAGCAGTCCATCACTATGAAGAATGGATGATACACTGACATATAAGAGCATATAATAGGTTATTCTTATGTATGGGCCTTAGGAACCTTTCTGTTTACCCCACTGCACATGAAAATTGCTTTTTTTCCCCCCTCTTTACAGGAGATGCCTGCAGCTTAGACCATTGTCAACTGAAAGGTATGCCTCTTCTTCTTTATCAATAGTTTTCTAGTTGGGTTGCTTCAGGCTTTCACCCAGCTTTTAGCCGGATGATTCTGGGAGCTGAAGGCCAAGAAACCTGGAAGCATCAAATGCAGAAGCTTTTAAATTTTATTTGTTTGTTTGTTTTATTTTTTCAAATGATTATTAGATAACAGGTATAAGTATTTTGATTAATTAATAGTTAGTTATTAATTAACAGGTATAAGGTATAATTATTAGATAACAGGTATAAGTATATAGGTATAAGCTTGCTGTGCTAATGTCAGCCTTGTCAGGTTTCTATAACTAAGCCAACATACCTATAAATCTGCCAATCAACTAATCAACTTACTCTGACCTAGCACATTCCTATCTGTGCCAACTACAATCTCCATCACTCAATTCTCCCTATTCTTCCTCTAGAGACAGAAGCCAGAAACTGCAAGGACCTCCTGGAACGTGGGGAGACTCTGAGTGGCTGGTACACAATATACCCAACCAAGGGGAACCCAATGCTGGTTTTCTGTGACATGGGGACAGATGGAGGAGGCTGGTTGGTAAGTGAAAGCCCAAGAAGGAGGAGGAAGAGATATTTGAATGCATCAGAAGAGCAAAAAAATCCCATATTGCTATAATTAATCATTAAAACAAATACACTCCATGCTATCATTTTTATTACAAAATAATAACAGCTATTCAGGGGCCCATCAGTCTTCTCTCATCTGAAGAGATAAGTGGTGAACACATTGCAGCCCCAGAGCTGAATCAGACTCCCAAGTCACGTGTTGGGATTTGAGCCAGGATAGCAGAGAACTGAAGGCACAAAGATGGTATCAAGGAGTAGCCCCCTAGCTATGACTTGGAAGAGGAGTCATAGTTCTATTCAAGGTCTTTTGCAAAACAGACTGAAAGGCAGTTCCCCCATTTCAGAAATGGCCTAAGATTAGGAAAGCAACTTCTCCGTCAAACAGATGCTGAGGTAGCATTCTCTCTCTTTCCACCAGGTCTTCCAGAGGCGGCAGGATGGATCTGTGGATTTCTACCGTGACTGGGAATCATACAAGAAAGGATTTGGGATGCAAGAATCAGAATTCTGGCTGGGCAATGATAAGATCCATCTTCTCACCAGTTCTGGTAACCTCTTCTACCTGGTGCTCACTTTGATACTTTAAATCAGTTTACACAGATTATATATATATATATTCTTAAGTTTTCGCAGGTACTTACATGTATGGCATTGGGCTTTGCTTGGGTATTTTCCCACGTCATAGTAGTTGTGCTTTTAAAGTTGTAGCAACGTTTCAGCAGAATCTCATCAGATGAGATTCTGCTGAAACGTCACTACAACTTTAAAAGCACAACTATTATGACGTGGGAAAATACCCAAGCAAAGCCCAATGCCATAAAGTCTTTCCAGATTCAGCCCTTTAAGGCTAGCAGAGATTTATCTTTACATCACAGGAACACAGTATGCATAAAGTATGCATAAAGGAAACACTCTGATCTGTTTGTATCAGTCCATAAGACTTAACTTCCATTTCCTTCTATAGAAATGAATGGTATATTCCAAATTCATAAATGGGGAAAACATGTGCTTTCCTGTAATTTGGAAATTGTTTGGAGCTTTATACAGCCCAATTACCTAAAAGCGTTGATCACTGGCTGAATAATAAAATTGTTAGAATCAGAGGAAAAGAAGAAAGTTGCCTTCTTTTTCTGGGGATCCATAAATTCTCCTCATTTAAAAAAGTGTGTGGAACCAGGACACCAAAAAACCATCAGTACCCATCCTCACTGCCTTAGCCAAATGCATGTACATAGAAAATTATTAAAAGATTAACTTCATAGAGGTAAAGGAAAAAATGGCAGTTCAGAGGATTGCTGTCTAATTGTGCAAAAAAAGACTGGAAAAACTCAAGCGAAGCAGGAGTTTAATTTACCTAGGACACCCTTTGTGCTCCTGTGATTCTGTTCCTCTATATTGGCTATTCATCATTGCTTTTGGATGGACATGGATCATAATCCCACCATGATCATGTCCATGTGGAATGAATGTCTACTACAATGATTAGCAGGCTTCCCTTCAAGGACTTCTGCACCTCAAGTAGTTCTCTAATAGTACCTGTCTTTTGGTGTTCAGGAACACAGCAGCTGAGGATTGATCTGGAAGATTTCAGTGGTTCCAAAACCTTTGCAAAATATTCCAGTTTCAGAATCACAAATGAAAGTGAAAACTACAAATTAACGTTGGGTTCCTATTTGGATGGCAACATGGGTGAGTAATACAAAAAATGCCTCTTCATTTGAGTACCTTCTTACTGCAAATATGACAAACATAAATAGTTGCTTTGAATAGTGAGATGGGCAGCAAGTAAATTTAATCATAGAAAAACTGGAGAAGATAAAAAAAATACAGAGACCTGCAAGCAGAAATAGAACATCTGTGCAAAGGTAGTACCAAAAGTAATAAGTACTTTGGTACCTAGTCATGTAGCACCACTTGAACACCATTGGCATTGACAAAATCACCACCAGTCAATTGTAAAGACCTGTTTACTTGGAACAACTTATATGTTGCAACAATATTGTAATGCAATCCAGCATCAATATAATAGGTCCTTAATAGGTTCTTGGGAAGGACTCAATAGGTGGATAAAAATGCCAATTCCAGTCTAAACATCTGACTGCATAATAATATCAGATAACCTGATGCAGAATGCAGAAACAATTTAAGCCAGGGAGCTGCCTAATTCCTTTCTAGTTTACCAGGGGGACAATAAGGAAGTGTGAATATGAGGCAGTCCTTTGATCCAGGGAGCAAAACACAATCCCAGACTCAGGAAACTTATCCATTCTTTGGCTTATTAATGGGATTCAGGCATTCTGGTTTATCAAAAAGATTTACGACATGGCCCGTTAGATGGATCTCATGGTGGTGTATTTAGAAAGTCAAGTTAAGCAAGCCATGGCTTCACGAAACAGGTAAAGCCATTGAAAAACACGTTGTAACTTCTTGACTGGGCTGGCTAGTGATGCCAATATTCAAATCTAGGAAATTGTGCATATAAACCAGATGCTCAATCATTTATATTTGACCCCTTTCTAATTCTTAGTGGTGTAGGAACATTTTTCATTGGTGAAATACCCTGCAGGTTTGCGTTCCTGGAAGACATGAACTTTGTGCTTCCCTCCTTTTAGGTGATTCTCTCTCAGGACACAATGACCATGCATTCTCTACCAAAGACAGAGACAATGATATCTATGATGGAAATTGTGCTGAAAGTTTCAAAGGAGCCTGGTGGTACACCAAATGCCACACTTCCAACCTGAACGGCCTATATCACAAAGGGGAACATACCTCTTATGCTGATGGCATCAATTGGCATTCTGGGAAGGGACATTATTATTCTTACAAGTATACGGCTATGAAAATTAGACCACAATAAATGAAACCCCAATTTCACAGATTCATCAACATGACCCAAAATGATTATTCTTCTCTATTCTCTTCTGGAAAAAAAAAAAAAATGCAGCAAATGTTTAAAACGCCTTCTTTGTGTGATTTTTCTCTCTTGTAATAATCTCTTTTTTATTTACAGTAGATGGGGATGGAGTTCAAACCCTTTTCCTTCTTACTTTTTCCAATTTTTTTCCTGAGGAGAGAGGTGTTCCTTCATTTGCTACAAAGCTGACGTTTATTGATCTATAAGCCATAAGTAGGTAAAGTAACACAATAGTTTCTACTCATTTGTGTATCTGTGCTTCGTGAATTAACTTCAGCAAAAGGATTTACTTGGACCTCTGTCTTGGGTAAAGCACCCTTGGAAAGTTTTCACAAACTGGTTGCCTTAAAACAACTAAGCTGGCAGAAGTAATACCAGAGATAACTGTGTCAGTGTTTTTTATGCTCAAGGAAATTTGACAAAGCACGGAACTCAGATAAACCCAAGAATCAATTTATAAGGAGAAAAATTATCTTGCTTCCTTCCAGCTGCTGATTCAGTCACATCATTCACACTCAATACAAAGTCTAACTCACTAAATGAATAGCTCTGATTTATTGTTTCTGTGGCATTTTACCTTATCTGTATGATCATTACATGTTTTTTCTGAAGGACCCGGTGTTTTACAAAAGTTGCAATCTTTGGGAAAGTGTTTTCAACACATACAATGCAATTTAGTACTGAGAGGAAATGCCTCCAAAAGAGGAATAATCTTATCACTCTCATCCCTAATCCGGCTGGCAACACAGTATTTTAATCTCCAAAGTAAGACTATAAGCTCTTGAAGGTTATTCAGAAGTGATGGTTCATCTTAGACCAGAGTTCTCCAACCTTTCTGGGTTGGTGGCCCAGAACAGGGGGAGCGAGAAAGAGGGGATGATTTTGTGGGAGGGGCAAGTGTATGTACATGCGCGTATATGCATGAGCATCCACAACTTTCACATGATGTTGGTGTGAGTGGGGCCATGAGGGCCCACAATGAGGCCTGTGTGAATGGGGCTGGAAGCACCTGCAATGACACTCACTTGAGTGGGGCTGTGCGCACATGCAGATGCACACTCACATGGCCCGGTGGCGATTTAGCCTGCAGCCCAGTAATGGGCCATGCCCCACAGGTTGAGGCCCCCTATCATAGATAATGAAGATCCCCATCTCCATTATTGATCCTGAGATCACACAGCTCCAGGATGCTCTTTCCATATCCCATGTGTGAACTTCCACAAAATTATTTCTGGATGCAAAATTCTGGGATGGAGTTTTATAGCCAGTTCTTACAAATGTATACTAACTTTTTATTTTACTAAATAATAATTAAATTATCTGCATTCTTATGTTTTGGCACAGAAATTCAGTGTGCAACTGATTTTGTTTGCAACTTAATAAGAATCTACAGTGCCAGAGAAATAACACAATTACCTATGCCTGTCTGAGCACATATAATTGTTACACAGGACACTTGTTTATTGCAAATGTGTCCCCGTGTTTCTTTATAGCGGTGCGCCATTCAAACTAAGTTAAAATGTCTCCTATGAGGATGGATATGAATTGTGTAGAATGTGTGGAAGTGGCCAGAAATTGTGCGTGGATAATTTGCAATTGGGCCATAATAGGGATGAATGCTTTTAGCTGTGTCATTTTGTAGATATAAATCTCACATCATATCTGTTTAAGATTAATTAAGCTTTTCTCTGGACTGAGATAAATTATCAGAATTGCCTGGGTCAAAACACATAATAAGCCAGATCAGAATCAATTTTCCTCGTTAGGGAAGAAATAAACCTTTCAAAGAATGTAAGGTAAACCAGAGACTCATCCATAAAAGGTTTGTTTCAGCCAAAACCTGAGAAGGCAAGTCTCAGGTGGGTCCCAAGAGAAATTTAGCCAAGCTCTAGCCAAACAATTCTAAGGAACTTAGACTGAGCAGTTTCTAGAGTAGAGACATTCTTATAAACACAAAGTTTTGCACCATATAACAACAGACTCAGACTCTTTGCTTTATACAATTTTATTGCTACAGAGATGTTATCATTGCCAGAAAGACTTGCATACTTTAAGATTGTTTTAGCAACTTTATGAGCTCTAATAGAAAGTTCACTCACTTGGGTATTCCAATGGGTGAAGATAGCCAAGTTACTTTAAGTCCTTAACTGATTCATTTGTTTTTTTTTAATTGATTTCCTATGTAATAGAGGAATTAAAGTGCATTCTAGAGAAAACCAGAACCTTCATTTTTGAGTAATTGATTTCAAGAAATTCCCTGGAATAATAAAACACTAAAGCATCTAGGCCCACTTAGGTTACAGATCGATAAGGTGCCCACTTAACAAGATGATTTCAATCTTTACAAGACAATGGATACAGGATGGTGGGCAAGCATGATGAGGTAAAATTCTAGTTTAGAAAGAACTGTTAGATCAGGTAGATCGGTTCCCACAGAGACGCGAGACCAAAAGTGTACATTCAGCTCTTTATTTCAATGTTAAGACCTGTACAAGGTCTTGGAGCTGCGCAGCCCTTCATATAGGGATTGCTTGCGGCTCGGCGGCCAATGACAGGGCTTTGAATCTCCCACGATCGGCTCGGCCAATCACGGTCGATTCTTAGCGTGCCAATCACGGCCGTTCAGTTGACCAATCAGGTTGCGGTCCGTGTGGACCAATCAGTATTCCGTATTAGGAGTATGCAGATAAAAAACAAGAACTATGTGTCATTTATATAGAAGCTGACTAATTAACAAGGATATAGCTCTGTCTAACTCCACTGAAGATGAGAATCGGTTAAATCATCATTACAAGTTCCTCTAAACCAGGTCTATCAAAGTCCCGGCTCGCAGGTGGATGCATTACATGCTGGCCATGCCCACACCCAGTTTAGCGAAGGGAGGAAAAGTCCTGATACATCATGTGATGCTGCCATGATGACATGAGTTTGACACCCCTGGTCTAAATGTGATGTAAATTTGGATGTAACAGAAGGAAGCAAGTAAATGGATTTTTTTTTCTCTTTGACTTTGATCAAGCAAGTAAATATATTTTGATTGTTAAGATTGGTGAAGTGAATTAAAGCAGCATCTTATCAGCTCATTTCAGTAGTATTATGACTAGATAGAATCACTCACTGCCTGTTATAGAACAAAGAATTCAGAAGATAAAATGAATAACATGCATCACAGATTACAAACAGCAGAGTCTAATCTTTATAAACAGAATTTGAACTGTAGAGCATTTCAGAAGAGAACAATTCTGTGGGCACATGGAACAGCTGCTTAAAAATTTGCCTGATATTGCAGACATGAAGGAAACTGAGGTGGAGTATGTCGTAAAACACAGGAAGTTCTGGAGGAAGTAAGTCAAGCAACACAGCAGCTTTTGTTTGATGGTGGACTATGTGTATGTGTATTTGTGTGTGCACACACATGTACCTGACTTTGTAAAGTAGCTTCAAAGAAGCTTCACTTAAAATTTAACCTTAGTAAAGCAACTCTTTATTTCCAAATAATTTTACTGCATTTTACAAAGCAGAAACATTAAAAACAATATAAATCGATGATTTAAAAATGATTGAGGGTAAAAAAAAAAAAGAACAGAGACAGAACTGTAATAAAAAAGTATAAAGAAAAAGAAAAAAAAGCAGAAATGTATATAAAGAATGGCTTCTAACTTCTTCCAAGAGAATGCTTACTTTTGGCTCTTAGTTAAGACTATACTAAAGGGTCAATTCCCCCTCCAAAAAAGGGGAAAATTATAAAAAATTCTCCCCCCCTTTTAAATTTTAACAATAATCAAATCCATATGTTAAATTTTCATGTTTCTCCATCTCCTGCAAAAAACGTCCACAAAGAGCTTCCAATTAGAGATAAATTTCTTCAGTGATTTTTCTTTCACGAGGACCATTAGCTTAGCCACTGTTGCCAATTCCACCATCTTTATTACTACTAATACCTACTATTCTGGCTATTGTAGGATCTTTTCAATGCTGAGTGCATTTATCATACATAACAATAAAACACTATGTGATGTTTTTCCATTGTTTTATCCATAAAGTTACGATAACATAGCATAATGTTATATAGGAATACCTGTACTGAACTGTTTTATGAGTGCATATAGAATTGAAGAGGTTGATATCTTGTGGCCAACACTGCCATAGTGTGGATAATTTCTGCACCCACACCACATTATATTTTTCTTCAAGTTTATTGCATAGAAATAAAAAAATGATCCATCGACAATCATTTAATCCTATATGCATTATTGCACATTTTAAAAATCATTTTAGATATTTTATTGTGGACTCCCAACTTGCTCTCGGAGTTAGATCAGACAGAGTACTACTTGCACACAGCATACTTAAATATATGTGGGCAGTTAAAAATGAGATTCCAAAAGAAAAGGGGGTAATGACCGAAACCTTTAAATATAAAGATATGAATGAGGTTCTAGAAGGCAGCATTTTCAATATTAAGCAAAAAAAATCCAGAACATGGAGACATAGCCTCAAATTAACAGGAGTGAAGTTCAAAAGTAAATTTAGAAAGTATGACCTCACAGAAAGTGGATGCTATGAACCAACTTTCCAATTTTAGGTTGCCCATCAGTAACTGAGTTTAAATATGCTTGGGATAAACACATGCACATCATCCAATAAAAATATATAAAAAATAAAAGAAATATTAAAAAAACTCAAAGAACAAATTGGATGGACCACTAAGTCCATTTCTGCCATCAGTTTTCTACATTTCTATGTTTCTATATAAGATTAAGTTGTTTTAACTAAAAATGATACTTATTCACAATGTGCCTAAATATGTTTGGGTTATTAAGATAAATGGTATGAATTGTCTGCTCTTCCTTAAGACTGACCTGGGAGAGAGATTGTTGAGTAAATGGGCTGAGGCAGGGAGGGGAGAGAGTGAAACAAAAGTACATTGGAAATTAAATGATCCAGGCTCAAAATGGCCATGCAGGGTGATGCTGGGTTGACTACCTAAAAACACAGAGGAGCTGAAGCTCTGAAGATAGCACAAATGGGGCTTTCCTTGAGCAAGGTCAATAGACCTGGGTGGACTTGGGAGCTGAGTCAGGCTTAACTAACACTGCTGAGTTAAAGCAGGGAAATTTGAGTTTCAGCCAAAGAAACAGCAAAGCTAGAAGGAATGTTGATTTCTTGTGTCTGCCCTGGTTGCTTCAACCTTCCCTGTCTCTGGTAGATCAAATCTTCACAGATTGCACCCTGATTGCTTTCTTCCTTTGAACTGGTTTGGCTGTTCTTCTCTCCTGAACTGGGTGTAGCTCATTCTGGCTTCAAAATCGGGCTGTCCAATGATACTTTTATCTCCCCCAGTCCCTAACCATTGTTAATAAAGCATCCAGTACATTGTCATTTTGTACCCTGTCCCAAAGTAGGGGGAGGGACCAGGTGTGGTATTCAGCAGGTTCTGACCAGTTCTGGAGAACCGGTAGCAGAAATTTTGAGTAGTTTGGAGAACTGGCAAATACCACCTCTGACTGAAGATTTTACAGTATTCTTCCCCTGCCATGCCCACCAAGCCATGCCCACAGAACTGGTAGTAAAAAAAATTTGAATCCCACCACTGGGAGCGACCCAAAAGTCAACATGGCAACCATGATTGCACAATCAAAGCTTCACCCAAGTTTAAATGTGATGTTCACAGCAAATTTGTTCATTCATTAGTTCAAAGATGATTAGTTGTCCAACTCTGACTGACTATTTTGAAATTTAAAAGATAGGATTCAATTGCATGTTTCTCCCCACATCCCATATACTCCTTATCCTCAAGTACCATTGCACAGAAATTGCAATTGAAGTGAGAAGAAAACTAGCCATTAAGGGGAATGAAAAAAATTAAACTGGAGGTGTGAAAGACTGTGGTCTTAACTGACTGAGAGAATGCAAGCTTCACCTTTCCACAGTAATAGCCTGGAAAGGTAGTTCTCAGAATTTTCATTGCTAAGGGATGTAGTTGTAAAGCATGATATCATATTGTCAGGCTTCAACGTTTCCACACTCACCATGAATAATCAATGAAAAATCTTTTCACTCAGGAACCAGCCCTCAAACATCCTGATACCAGCTTTCCATTTGTTATTCAAGCCGACTCTAGTGATGTGGCAGTAGCAGCTGTTTTGCTGCAAAAGAATTCAGCAGGAACATTATAACCATGTGCCTATACCTCTCAAAAATTTTAGTTACACTGAGCATAATTGGGCGATTTGAGAGAAAGAGGCATTTGCTGTTCGGTGGGCATTAATTACTTAGAGACATCTATTAGAAGGTGGTCCATACCCTTTTGAGGTGTGTGTTATGTCTGGGTGGTGGGTCCCAAGGAGAGACGAGACTTGGAATAGTGACAACAGCTCTTTATTAGGAAACCAGATACTGAGACAAGACTCCCAGCCGAGGCAGCTCCTTTTATAGAGCTGGCTGCAGCTAGACAGCCTATGACATGCATTTGAGCTTGCCGTGCTTGGTTTTACCCAATCGCGGCAGCCGAATAAGAACCAATCAGAAAGCTTAGTTCTGTCCAATCACGGCCCGGCTTTTCCGGACCAATAGGAATGCAGGCCTACAAGCCTGCTAGTATGGAACACCCCTCCCCTCTTGGTTCCGTCCAAGGGGCGGGGTAACGTAATCACGCAAGTAGGTAGGTCTTCGTACCTGCCTACTAGACTTGCGCAGTTCACAGTGTCTCTGTTCACCATCGGGTTTGGACGGGCTCTGCATCGCTCTCAAGCTGCAAGATGGAACTGCCTGGAAGGGTGAGCCGGTCCTCTGGCGGCGACTCCCACCTGGTGATTCTGGGTCGGTTGAGTCGTTTGCTCTGCTGCTCCCGCCTGGGCTCTCTGGGCTGGTGGAGCTTGTCCAGCTGCTGCTTCCAGGCGAAGTGCCCATCTGCCATGACTCCCTTCTGGCTGGTAAGTATTGTTGGTTTTTGTTTAGTGTCTGTGGGGGGTGTTCTACTTGTACAGATGTTCATTCATTTTCTGAACTTGAGGTTTCCCCCCACCCTCTGATTTCTTGGTTAGAGTCTATGAGGGGGGAAGCGGCCAGCCTGGATCTTAGTTGGTCAATATGACGTTTCCACGACCTCCCATCGGTGGTCTCGAGCCGGTAGGAGCGGGGGCCTGTGACTTGGCTGATTTTTGCAGGGATCCAAAGTGGGTCCCCTGTAAAGTTTTTGGCAAATATAGTGTCTCCTACCTTGAAGGTGCGCTGCTTGCTGATGGAACCAAGGGGTTTTTCTGGAGTGTAAGCAGGGTGCAGGCGGTCTAGAGGTGACCTGAGTCTTCTGCCCATTAATAGCTCTGGTGGGCTCTTGTTGGTGGTGGTATTTGGTGTGATATGTTGTAGAAGAAGTATCCTGGTGATCTTCTCATGGATGTTGCCATGTTCCATTTTGTGCAGTTTTTTTTGTAAATTGAACCATGTGTTCAGCTCTACCATTCGCCGCCGGGTGATCTGGTGATGTCAATGTGTGTCAGATGCCGCGGTCTGCCAAGTATTGTTCAAAAGCTAAGGCAGTAAATTGTGGCCAATTGTCAGAAACGATAACATCTGGCAGACCATGCGTTGCGAAAAGTCTATTTAATTTTTTGATGACAGCTTCTGTGGTGGTTGTCTTCATTGTGCTCACCTTGAGCCAATTTGAATAAGGGTCAACAGTGATTAAAAAGGTGTGCCCCTTGGTTCACCCTGCAAAGTCAATATGGATGTGCGACCAAGGGCCTCTGGGTGTCTCCCATTCTAATGGTGGGGCCTTAGGGGGAGCCGAGCGAGTCTCTTGACATCTGTTACAAGCGGCGACCCAGGTTTCAATTTGCTTGTCCATGCCTGGCCACCAAGCGTAGCTCCTGGCCAGGGCTTTCATGCGCACAATACCAGGGTGCCCGTCATGCAGCAAGTCTAAAACTATTTTCTGTAGTGTCTCTGGTATTACTACCCGGTCTCCCCCCAACACACAACCTTTTTGCGAAAAGAGTTCAGTTTGCCGGTTTTTAAATGGTTTTAAAAGTTCGTTTGGCTCGGTTTCTGGCCATCCCCTCTCCACCCAGCTGAGAACTCGCACCAAACGCCTGTCCTTCCTAGTTTTGTGGGCAATGTCTTGCGCGGTTACTGGTGGCATGGGGATCATTTTAATTTGCAAGACTGGTAATGTGGGTGCTGGGTCCTCTTGTAAGTCTGGCAAGGGGGAGCGGCTTAAGGCATCGGCATGCGAGATTGTCTTGCCAGGGCGATGTATCAATTTGTAATTATAAGCGGCAAGAAATTCAGACCATCTTGTCATTCTAGGTGACAAGATGTGTGGAGTGGGTTTGTCACCCGCCAATATGCCAAGTAGGGGCTTATGGTCTCTAATAATGGAAAATGTCCTACCATAAATGTATTTGTGGAATCTCTTTACTGCTGAAATGATGGTGAGGGCTTCTTTGTCCAGCTGGCTATAGTTCCTCTCTTGCTTGGACAATGTTCTGGAAAAGAATGCAATGGGGGCTTCCGTTCCATTTGGTAAAACGTGGCTCAGGATGGCGCCAACCCCGAAAAGGGATGCGTCACAAGTAACAGTCAGAGGTAACGTTTCATTGTATTGCATGAGGACTGCGTCTGAAGTCAAAAGGTTTTTTATCTGGTGAAAAGCGTGCTCTTCTCGCCGTCCCCATATCCAGGAAGCCTTTTTATCAAGAAGTCTATGCAGAGGTTCTGCGACAGTTGCTTTCTAGGGTAGAAAAATGTTGTAGAAATTAATGAGTCCGAGGAAGGCTTGGAGGTCTGTTTTGTTCTTTGGTCTGGGGGCGTTTTTGATGGCTTTCAATTTTTTATCTGTGGGATGAATTCCTTGTTTGTCAAGGAGGTAGCCAAGAAATTCAACCCTTTCAGTGCATAATTGGCACTTTTTCTTTTTCACCTTGAGGCCAGCGTCTTTGAATTTCTGTAGGACCGCCCTCAGTCATTTTTCCAATTGTTTTTTGGTAGGGGCTGCTACCAGGACGTCATCGAAATAGGGCATGACTCCTTTAATTCCCTGCAACAATCTCTCCATTAGATTTTGAAAAATGCCCGGTGCAATGCTGAGCCCAAACTGGAGCCGGTTACATTTGAATGCCCCTCTATGTGTCACTATTGTTTGGGCTTCGGCAGTTTCAGCATCGACTGGCAGTTGTTGATAAGCTTGAGCCAGGTCGAGCTTTGCAAAGACCTTGCCACCTCCTAGTGAGTGCAGGAGATGTTGGACTACTGGCACCACGTAGGCGCTCTGCTGCAGTGCATGGTTGAGGGTGGCCTTGTAGTCACCACAAATTCTCAGGGAGCCATCGGGTTTGATGGGGGTGACAATTGGGGGTCTCCCAACGGGCATGATCGATGGGTTCTAACACGCCTTGCACTATTAGTTTGTCTAATTGTTCATCTATTTTAGGCTTGAGTGCAAAAGGCACTTGGCGCGGCTTGAGACGGATGGGAGCAATGTCAGGGCTGAGATTAAAGGAGATAGGGGACCCCTTGTACTTGCCTAGATGTTCACTGAAGACTTCTTGGAAGTCCTGGATGAGCGTTGTTTCCCAGTTTCCGTCTTCTGTGTGGTTGATGCCTGCCATCTCGATCCCCAATGGTGCGAACCACTGCAACCCGAGTAGGCTGGGTCTGTCTTTATCGATGATTGTGAGTGGTAGGATGGTGGTGTGGTTTCTGAATGAGACTTGAAAATGTCCAGTGCCAACAACAGGAATGCGATTACCTTGATAGTCTCTTAATATTAGCTTCTGGTCACTAAGCTCTTGGCGACGGATGCTGGGAATTAGTCTTTTGATGGTCCTCCAGGAGACCATAGAGAGGGAGGAACCAGAGTCTACCTCCATGGTTCAAGGCTGATTCTCGATGTTGACCTCTACACGTATCTTTCATGCGTCAATTGATGAAGCGTGGCCGATGGTGACTGTTTGGTGCATTTCTTCTCTTCTGGGTGCCTCGACGAACTTCCTGGGTCGGCTGTCCCGGTTCCATCGGTTGTCATTATGGCGGTCCCGGTTTATGGTGGGGGTGCCATCTCTTCTTGAGCTGTTTCCCCGTCGTCGGGGGCTGGAATTTCGTTTGTTACGGCATACTTTGGCAATATGCCCTCGTTTTTCGCAAAAACGGCAAACAGCGTCCAGGAACTTGCATCGGAATGCGGGTGATTTCCTCCGCAGCCGGCACATTGGTAACTCGACTTACAACCACATTGGTCTCGTCGCTCACGTTCCGACTGAAGTCTGTGAATTTCTTCCTCTTCGCTGTCAGAGGGGGATTCGATGTCACCATGGTGGGTGGATGCTGCATGTTTGTCTGCTGCGGTTGCTGTCTCACTGGTGGGTTGGCAGTCATTTCTGTTTGAATGCTGCATTCGCGCCGCTGACTTATGGGTGGCCTCGGCTGCGATGGCTTCGGCTATGGCGTCGGCGAGGGAGATGTCTCCTTTAGCCATCAGTCTGCTTTGGAGAGTTGGGTCTTTCAGGCTGAGGACGACTTGGTCACGCATGGCCTCGTCTAGATTGGCGAATCCACACAAGCCTCCTAGGTCCCTCAGGTCAGCTACGAACTCTCCAACGCTCTCGCCCTCACACTGATCCCTCTGGTAAAAGTCATGCCGACAGATGAGAATTGGCACCGCTGGGGCATAGTAGTGCCAGAGGATGGGAGCTAGGGTATCCCAATCCATGGTCTTGACGTCTGTTGGCTTTGCAAGTGTCTTGGCCATTTTAAAAATGGCGGGTCCACAGTGTGTTAGAAAAATCGCTTGCTTCTTGCTGCCGGTGGCATCCTTCAGGTTGTTTGATTCCAAGAACATTTGGAAATGATCAATGTAGGACTCCCAGTCCTCACTGGCCGGATTGAATGGTGCGGGTGGCACAGCGCTGCTGGCCATCTTGCAGGTTATCTATTCGCTCTCTGCCAAGTTCTGTTGTCTCAGTATCCCACCCTCATCACCAGTGTTATGTCTGGGCGGTGGGTCCCAAGGAGAGACGAGACTCGGAATAGTGACAACAGCTCTTTATTAGGAAACCAGATACTGAGACAAGACTCCCAGCCGAGGCAGCTCCTTTTATAGAGCTGGCTGCGGCTAGGCAGCCTATGACATGCATTTGAGCTTACTGTGCTTGGTTTTACCCAATCGCGGCAGCCGAATAAGAACCAATCAGAACGCTTAGATCTGTCCAATCACGGCCCGGCTTTTCTGGACCAATAGGAATGCAGGCCTACAAGCCTGCTAGTATGGAACAGTGTGGACAGATCACAACAATTTGGAGGCACTCCAAAATCTACATCGATTATGTCCTAAACAAGTGCAATCGGCATTGTTTTTTAAACGATTCAACTTTACACTACAATATGTTCCTGCTGGAAAACATTTTATGGCGGACGCCTTATCTCACCTTCCCCAATACAAAAGTCAACGTGACACTTTAATCCAACTCCTTATTTCATGTATGGATCATGTTGAATCATTACAAAATACAATTATGACAGCAGATTTACCTACCATTTTGGCAAACAATCAGTGGTTAATAAATAATCAGAGCCAAATTGAAATGCGAGATAATATGGCGTGGTGAGGAAATAACATATGCATACCTACCTCATTGTGATCAATAGTGTTTAAACATTGTCATGATGTTAAACAGGCAGGGCATTATAAAGATTTTAAAAACTTAAAAACACCTTGCAAAAAGACAATTTTGGTGGCCGGCTATGAGATCAGAGATAGAAAAATATGTAAAATCATGTCCAGTTTGTGCAGTCAATCAAACAAAAGTGGGTAAACCAGAAGGATTATTACAAACAGTATCTGAACCCACAAAACCATGGCAAGATATTGGCATGGATTTTATAGTTGAGCTACCGAATACTAATGGATACAACATGATACGGACTGTAATTGATCTGTTTTCACAACAGGTGCACTTTATTCCTTGTAAAAGATTGCCCTCTGCTAGAAAATTGGCCAACCTATTCATAAAACACATCTATAGATTACATGGAGTATCTGGACAGATTATATCAGATTGAGGAGTACAATTTACAGCAAATTTTTTGCAGGAATTTGTACATCCAATTGGATCAACGCAAGGTTTAAGTACCGCTTATCATCCTTGCATAAACAGGGCAGCAGAGAGAGCGAATGCCACCATTGAACATTATTTGAGATGCTACATATCATACCAACAAAATGACTGGGTGGATCTTTTACCATATGCTGAAATAGCGTATAATAATACTGTACATAACAGTACTGGATATTCCCCGTTTCAAATCGTACACAGTACTGAATTTGTTCCAATACTGGAACGGCCACATAAACACTGGGAACCAGGTACAGTGAACACTTGGTCAGACAGTATAAAAAGTATATGGAAGGCAGTACAAGTAGCATTAAACAAAGCACAAACGGAATACAAGAAACAAGTGGATAAAAAACGACCCTCACAAATTCAATATAAGGTAGGAGATTGGGTATATCTCTCAACTAAATACATAAATCTAGGGTTAAGTAGTAAAAAACTAGGCCTGAAATATATAGGACCACTTTCAGTGAGTAAGATAATAAATCCTGTTACCGTATTTCTCTGTTTATCTTCCCAGTTCAAAAGAATTCATCCTGTTTTTCATATAAATTTATTGAAACCCGCCGATATGACTAGACAAAACCAAAGACTGCAAATACCAGGTCCAATTCATGATGTTCATTATGAAATCAATGAAATCCTTGATTCCCGCCACAGACGGGAAACTTTACAATATTTGGTTTGATGGCATGGTTACCCTATCACGGATGCCTCGTGGGTCCCTTGTTTTGATGTGTCAGCGCCTCGGTTACGAAACAGATTTCATATATCGCATCCCATGAAAGCAGGTGGAAGGATGAGATAAATTAAGTGTGGGATATTAATTGTATTCTTTATGTTGCAGACAATGTCATAGTAGAGAGGGCAGCCTGTCAGGCTTCAACGTTTCCACACTCACCTTGAAGCACGACACGGAGTTCATCGAACTGTGGGTCGGTTAGGTTGATGAATGATGGCGGGGTTGTTGAGAAAAGCAGCAAAAGCTGACATGTAGAAACAGACAGCACATGATGAACTCCAGTCAAAAGGAAGTATTGTTATGCTGATGCATGCTGTCTGTTTGCAGAACATTAGAGAACATTAGAGGGGAGTAGATAGATAGACAGACAGGCAGACAGACAGACAGATAGATAGGAATGTAGCAGGGAGAAACTCCAGCTACAGCAAAGACTGTTAGAGGGATCGTGATGAAGCAATTAAGACAGAAAAGGGAAGTTGGTTTGAATAATGCTAAAGGGCAGCTATAGCTGCAGGGAGGAGGCAGTGGTTTAGGGTTACACTACTTGGGAGTGGGATGATAGATGCAATTAGGAGCATGGGGAGGAAGTATGGGGAATTAGCTGGGAGGGTGGATGTTAGGTAATTACGAAGGGTGGATTATTGCAATAAAAGGTGCTGAGAGGCAGTTGCTCTCACCACTGGCTTTATACAGATATTTTCTTATTGTTGCTAACTTGGATGGGATGTATTATAAATAGACCGTTATCTTAACTCCACAAAAGTGAGTAACGTGGTTTATACCTAAAAATCCCTACTTGCCTAGAAAGGCTGACATATGTGTTACAAAAGGACAATTCTCTCTCCCAACCATCTCCTTTACAACTGAAGCCTCCTGCCTGGCCTGCTATCTAGCTATGCTGTCCCTTGGTAACATCTCTTCACCTACTATTCCAAGATCTTTTTCACACACTATTACAAGAGATTTATTTTTATTTTTAATTTAATCTGTTTTTATGGCAAGACTGGCAAGGCTAGCACACATTGTCTTTTGAGAAAAGCCTATTAATCTACATTCTAGATATTAATCAATTTTCTAACCTTTCTTTCACTCCGTATATTTTAAAAAACAATTTAATCTATCTATACTATACTTGTCTGGGTATAAAATACATTAATACTCCATAAGAATATATGAAAATTGTAGAAGAGATTAATGAACAGCTATTAATTTTTAGTCATGCATTAAATATAATCAACTTGGCTGGGTTAATTGAGATATTGTCAGTCTTTGTCAGGGAGTATTTATCCAAGAAGGAAAATTGTAAAAGCTGATGTATTTGTTTACCTGAAGTGCAGTTCACTCGTGTTTCTTCTCTCCCTCTGATAACCAAAGTTTTAAAAATCCACATTGTTCCATAAAAAATGCTCAAAGAAGGATAAAGGGTGGAGAAAGTAATGTGATGCAGGGATTTCTGTTATTTCTAGAGCTCCATCCCTCATCTGCAAATATTGGGAATGGTGCAGAGGTGGGTATTCAGCAGGTTCTGACCAGTTCTGGAGAACCAGTAGCAGAAATTTTGAGTAGTTCGGAGAACCGGCAATTCCCAACTCTGACTAGAGATTTACAGTATCCTTCCCCTGCCATGCCTACCAAGCCACGCCCACAGAACCAGTAGTTAAAAAATTTGAATCCCACCACTGGAATAGTGCCAAGGTTTGCAAAAGCAGGTAAAGCAGGTCTTGCAAAAGAAGACTTTCAAGATAGTTTCCTCCTCTATCTTTTCAAGGAAATTCTGCTATTTCCTCATTTCTCTATTTACAGAACACATAGGCATTGCTATATATACAAGAACGCCTAAACCCCCAGCCCAGCTCAAAGACATATTTAAAGGACAGCAAACTAGGTTCCCTGAGGCAAGATGGCACCTTGGATGGGTTTTTGCTTCCTGTTCCTGATTGCTCTTCTGCAGAGAGGGGACTATCCACACAGGAGGAGACAGAAACCTGCACATGAGTCTCAATTGATCCTTTCTGGGATGAGCCAGTTAATTAAGATAGATTGGTTTAGTGAGCTAAAGTGCTGTTTGGCACCTATGCTGCACCTTCAGGCTATGGTGAATTTTGTTTTGTTTTTTTAACTCTTGGTGAAACCCAAACACAACTATGTGGGGAAAGCATTGTCCTATAGCCATTTCCTGCTTGTTATTGGCCAGAGAAGCAAAGTTGTCAGACCCACAGAAGGAGCTTTAGTGAAATTACAGCAGTTCTAGTAAAAGGTAAAATAGTAAAGCCCAGGAGTTACAAAAAGTCGGGTCAGGGCTTTAACAACTGCCTGTGTGGTGGTCGTGGGAAGCAAGGCAACGTCTATCCATTTAGAATACGAATCCACGACCACCAAGAAAGTTTTGCCATGCACAGGCCCGGCCAGGTCGATGTGTAACCGTGACCATGGGGCATTGGCGCTTTCCCACTTAGTGGGTGAGGCTGCTGGTGGGGCTGCCCTAGATTCTTGACAGGGTTTACAGGAGCTTACCCACTCTGCGATCTGATCGTCCATCCCCGGCCACCATACGCAACTGCGAGCCAATGCCTTCATTCGCACGATACCCGGGTGGCCTCGTGCAGCACCTTCAATATGGGCACGCGAAGAGTGGTTGGGATAACGACTCTGGTACCCCACAGCAGGCATCCCTGGAGTTTTGATAATTCCTGTTGATGCGTTTTAAATGGGACAAAGTCAACTGAACACTTTGTATCCGGCCACCCCCTCCCCACCCAGTCCAGAACCTGGGCGATTATTTTATCTTTCTTGGAGTGTGCCGTGATGTCATCTGCAGTCACAGGTAGCTTAAGTTCGTTGACTTCGAAGATTGCGTGCACCGGAGCTGGGTCCTCAACTGGGGTCGGTAAGGGGCAGCGGCTGAGAGCATCTGCGTGGCTTAAAGTCTTACCGGGGCGATAGACCAGCTTGAACGAATAGGCCGCCAGGAACAATGTCCATCTAGTCATCCTGGGGGACAGCACTTGTGGAGTTTGCCTGTCCCCCGATAAAAGTCCCAAAAGTGGCTTGTGATCGGTAATGAGTTCGAAATGGTGGCCAAAAAGGAATTCGTGGAATTTTTTGACTGCTGCTACTGCAGCCAGAGCCTCTTTATCAATCTGGCTGTAGTTTCTTTCAGTCATGGAAAGGGTCCTGGAGAAAAAAGCAATTGGCGCCTCGGTGCCATTGGGGAGTCTGTGACTTAGGACAGCTCCTATCCCGAAAGGGGATGCGTCAGCGGCCAAGATCAAGGGAAGGAGTTGGTTGAACTGAATTAGAATGGCATCAGAAGTGAGCAGAGATTTGATCGCTTTAAATGCATGGGATTCTTTGGGGCCCCAGTGCCATGGAGTGTCTTTATCTAATAACCTGTGTAAAGGTTCAGCGACTGAAGCTTTGTGTGGTAAGAATGAAGCGTAGAAATTTAATAACCCCAGGAAGGCTTGTAGTTCCGTTTTATTGGTAGGTGTGGGTGCCTCGTGGATGGCTTTTACTTTTGACTCCACCGGGTGGATGCCTGAGGCGTCTAGTCTATATCCTAAAAAGTCCACTTGTCTAGTGGCGATGGTGCACTTCTCCCGTTTGAGTTTGAGACCATGCTGTCTAAACTTCTCCAATACTGCCCTAACCCTCTGGAGGAGCTGGGGCCTGTCCATAGCTGAGACCAAAATATCGTCAAAGTATGGGACTACTCCTGGAAGACCTTGGAGAATTCTCTCCATTAGTGACTGAAAAATACCTGGGGCTACGCTAACGCCGAATTGGAGGCGTTTACACCTGAATGCCCCTCTATGAGTTACTATGGTTTGTAAGTCTGCTGTGTGGCTGTTGACAGGGAACTGCTGATATGCCTGTGACATGTCTAGCTTGGCAAAAATGGTGCCGGGTTCGAAAGTGTGCAACAGGTGCTGGATGACTGGAACGGGGCATGCGCTAACCTGGAGATAACAGTTAAGGGTCGTCTTGTAATCAGCACAAATTCTCAAACTACCGTCCTTTTTGAGTGGGGTGACTATGGGGGTCTCCCACTTGGCGAAATCTGTGGGTTCAATTACCCCTTGTTTGAGAAGTTTGTCCAATTCTGCGTCTAATTTGGGGCGGATAGTGAAAGGTACTCTACGGAATTTCAGGCGGACAGGAACTGCCTGGGGGTCTACAGAGAAGGAGATGGGTGTGCCATTGTAGCAACCCAGCTCGCTACTGAAAACATCGGAATAGTCAGAGAACAATGTGTCTACATCAGAAGTTGAGACAGCATGAATCCCTGTTATGCTAAGACCAAGAGAGGGGAACCAATCTAACCCCAAAAGACTAGGGAGGGTACCATTAACCACCACTAAAGGCAAATGGCCTTTGAAGGTTTGGAATTTAACAAGGAACTTGCCTTTCCCGAGGACAGGGATGTTCTTGCCTTGATAGTCTCTCAGGGTGAGGTGGCACTTTTGCAGCTGCTTCCTGGTCAGTCTGGATTGAATCTTTTTCAGCGTATCCCAGGAGATGATTGAGAGCGCTGAGCCGGTGTCCACCTCCATGGTGCAAGGTTTACCTTCTAGGGAAAGAGAGAGCTTAATTTTATTTGGAGTTTGGGAAGTGTGGTTGGCGTGGTAACACGTGTAACAGTCTTCTACTTGCCTTTGGAGGCTAGGAGATGAAGGAAACTTCTGGGGAGGAGCGCGTGCTGCCTGGCAGACTCTTGCAAGGTGACCTTTCTTGTGGCAGTTAAGGCAACTGGCGTTTCTAAACCTGCAAGATGCCCGGGAATGGGAACCCCCGCAGGTTAGGCACAAAGGGATCTGTTGTGGGCCACTGCTGTTTCTCTGCCTCGCTCCTACCTGTGGCTGTTTCAGTTGCTTGAGGCGATGGACATCTGAAATTTCAGAGGGGTCAGCTTCGCTCATTACCTCCTCTGAGTGGACGGTGGAAGTACCAGGCTTTGGTGCGGTGCCCTGAATCTCAGCTGCTGACTGGACGGATAGTTCAGCAGCTAGGGCTTCATCCATCGCTTGGGAAAGATTTAGATCTTTCCTGGCCAGCAGACGTCGTTGGAGCCTCTGATCTCTTACCCCGCAGACGAGTTGGTCGAGAAGCATGTCGTCTAAGTAATTCTTGAATTCGCATTGAAGAGCGGCTGTCCTCAGGGCGGCCATGTACTGGTTGATGGATTCTCCCTCGGCTTGCTTCCTCATCCTGAACGCGTAGCGTCTTGCGATCTGGGAAGGTTTAGGGGAGTAGTGGTTCGAGAGTGTTTCTTGTAGCTCACTCCATGGAACGTTCTTGATGTCACGTGGTGCAAAAAGTGCCGTGGCAGTGTCGAAAACTGCAGCCCCGCAGTAGCTAAGGAAGTACGATTTCTTCCTATGCTCCGCAGCATCGGCTAACCCAATGGCATCGATGTAATGGCTAAAGCGATTTTTATAGGAGTCCCACGTCTCCTCGTTGGGTTTGAATGGTTGAAACGCCAGATTGGCGTTCATCTTGGGCCCCTCGGTGTCGTCGGTAGACTGGGCTATCTCTCAGGTTGGTCGTGGCCCTGGGGCTGCGCTATCGGGAGTGCTGGCGGTTGTGGCTACAACGCCCTCGACTCGCTCCGTGACTCGGCCCTTGCAAGAGCAGCCTGCGTTGCGCTCTCTGCGCTCGTTGGCGGCGGCAGCTAACAGCGCCTTAACTGACTTCAGCTTAGTGATAACAGTTTGAATTTCGCACTCTCTGGGGAGCGTTGGCGACTGTGGCTACAGTGCCGTACTTCACTTGAGTAACTAATTCAAACGACAGCAGTTTGAATTTCGTGCCCACTCGGGGGCGTGGGCGGCTGAGATTTCAGCGCCGTGACTTCAGCTCTTTCGCAGCGGATGAGCTTGAGCTTTCAGTGCGAAGCGGCTGCGGTTCAGCTCCGAGGCTTCGCTGGCGTGATTTTCAGCTTTTTTGAATTTGAGTGCTTCTGGCTAGCCTGCGTTCACATCCCATCCTCGTTGCCAGTGTTGTAGAGTGAAGGAACAGACGAGGCTTAGACCAGAGCATACAACTATCAGTCTTTATTCAGGGAATAAAGGGTTGTCGTGTCTGCTAGCTAACAAGGCAGACTGCAAGCGAACAACGGCTGGCTCTGCTCGACAGCCGGCTTTTATAGCCGACTGTCAAACGGAGCCAACCAATGGGAGCTGCTGGTGCTCCCACTCAAACAGCGGACCTGGTTGGGAACTCCAACCAGTCCTAAAGACATAACAAGAATCACTGCATATTAGGAACAAAGAATTCAAAAGATAAAATGAATAACATGCATCGCAGATTATGAACAGCAGAATCTGATCTTTATAACAAGAATTTGAAATTTAGAGCATTTCAGAAGAGAACAATTCTGTGAGGATATAGAACAGCAGCTTAAAATTTTGCCTGATATTGCAGACATGGAGGAAGCTGAGGTGGAGTACGTGATTGAAAACAGAGGGAACAAGTCAATCAAAACAGTAGTTTCTGTTTAATGGTGGACAGATGATTTATGTGTGTGTGTTTGTGTGTGCGAGCACTTGTTCCTGACTTTGTAAGGCAGCTTTGAAATCAGTTTCACTTGAACTTTCATGTTAGCAAGGCAACTCTTTTTTCTAAATAATTTCACTGCATTTTACAAAGAATAAACATTAAAAACAACATACATTAATAATCAAAAGAAATGATAAAGAATAAAAAAAAGAACAGGGACAGAAATGTTAAAAAAAATTATAAAGAAAAAGGACAAAATCACAAAGAATACAAAGAATGACTTCCGTCTTCTTCTTCCAAGGTTAGAGTTTGGCACCGGATTGACTATCCAAACATGCAGAGATACTGAAGCTCTTTGATCCTGTATAGCACAAATGGGGCTTTCCTTGAACAAGCTCAATAGATTTGGGTAGACTTGGAAGCTGGGTCAGGCTTGATGAACACTGCTGAGTTTAAGCAGGGAGACTTGAGGTTCAGCAAAAAGAGCTACTAAGAAGGAGCTCCAAAGCTGGAAGGGACATCGATTTACGGTGACTGACTGCCCTGGTTGCTTCAACCTTCCCTGTGACAGAATCCCTGGTAGAGCAAGTCATCACAGATTGGGCCCTGATTGCTTTCTTTCTTTGAGCACTGTATTGGTTTGCCAGTTCTTCTCTCCTGAGCTGGGTGTAGTTCATTCTGGCTTCAAAATCAGGTTGTCCAGTGATACTTTTATCTCTCCCAATTCCCTAACCCAGACAAAACAGAACAAACCATTGTTAACATAACATTCAGTACATTGTCATTTTGTCCCCTGTCCCGATTGGGGGAGGGGATCAAAAGTCAACATGGCAACCATGACTTCACAATCAACGCTCCAGCCATTTTAAAGTATCCAATGATATTCTTGGAAGATTTATTTATTTATCCATGCATTCAAAGTTGATAATAGTTATCCATCTTCAACTGACTCTTTAAAAATTAAAAAGGTGTGAAGTTTCAATTGCATGTTCCTTCCCCCCCTCATCCTCAAGTATCAATTGCACAGAAATTGCAACTGAAGTGAGAAAAAGACTAACCATTACCTGAATGAAAAAAAATAAACTGGAGCTATGAAAAGAAGACTGTGGTCATAACTGACTGAGAGAGTGCAAGCTTCACCTTTCCACTGTAATAGCATAGGAAGGTAGCCCTCAGGTTCCAATGGCAATTGGGATCACAACTTCCATTGCTTAAGTGGTGCGGTTATAAAGCATGATGTTGCAAAAGGACAGTTCTCCCTCCCCCCCATCTCCTTTACAAGAGAAAAACTATGGTGTGTCTCTTCTAAGCCTCTTTCCCTGCCCACTTTCTAGCTGCAGCCTATGCTGTCCCTTAATAACATCTCTTCACTTACTGTCCCAAGATCTTTCTCACATACCATTACAAGAGATTTTTTATTTTTCCTTTTACCTGTTTTTATGGGAAGACTGGATAGGCAAGCATACATTCCTTGCTGACAAAGCCTAACAGATATTGATCTACTTTCTGGATATTAATCTACATTCTAACCTTTCTTTCACTCTACATATTTTTAAAAACAATTTAGTCTATACTCACACTTGTCTAGGTGAAAAATACATTTATAATCCATAAGAACATATGAACATTGAAGAGGAGATTAATGAACAGAGATTAATGCTCAAGGGAAGACAAAGGGTGGGGGAAAGTAATGCAATGCAGGGATCCCTGTTTTTTTTCTAGAGGCCAATCCCTCATTTGCAAATATTGGGAATGGTGCCAAGATTTGCCAAAGCTGGCGTTGCAAAAGAAGACTTTCAACATAGTTTCCTCCTGTACCTTTTCAAGGAAATTCTACTATTTCCTCACTTCTCTGTTTACAGTACTAATAGGCACTGCTATATATACAAGAACACCTAAACCCCCAGCCCAGCTCAAAGACATATCTAAAGAACAGCAAACTAGGTTCCCCGAGGCAAGATGACAACTTGGATGGGTTTTTGCTTCCTGTTCCTGATTGCTCTGTCTGCAGAGAGGGGACTATCCACACAGGAGGAGACAGAAACCAGCTGCTGTGCACGTGAGTCTCAATTGATCCTTTCTGGGGTGAGCCAGTTAATTAAGATAGATTGGTTTAGTGAGCTTCCTGCACTAAAGTGCTGTTTGGCATCTATGCTGCACCTTCAGGCTATGGTGTATTTTGTTTTGTTTTTTTAACTCTTGGTGAAACCCAAACACAACTATGTGGGGAAAGCATTGTCCTATAGCCATTTCCTGCTTGTTATTGGCCAGAGGAGCAAAGTTGTCAGACCCACAGAAGGAGCTTTAGTGAAATTACAGAGTTATAGGAAAAGGGTTTAATAGACGGGGAAAGAAATAGACCAGCGGAGTTTGCCTTTGGCCAAAAAGTGTGTAAGGTAATCAATTAGAATATTTGAAAGCAAATTTGGACATGCCATTATTCTTCTGCCCATCTCACCCTTCCTCTTGCAGTTCAAAAAATGCAGGCTTTAAAAGCTTGCAAAGGCTCAGTGAAAAATAAGAGTGAACTTATCCAAAATTTGCCATAATAGAAATCCAATATTATCTGCTGACTCATCCTGGTTTTCTACCATCCAAACTAGGACTACTGTGTGAATTGTCAGACTATGAGGAAAACCTTCTTGCTTTTGTTTAGTTTTTCACTCTGTTTATGCTCTTTCTTCTATTCCAGAGCTGAAAGGCTTAGCACAATGTGGGAGTGACAAGATTGTTCTCCAGGGCCAGGCAGGAATACCTGGAATTCCAGGTGTGCCAGGAACAAATGGTCTTCCTGGAGCTAGGGGTGAGCCAGGACCTCAAGGCCCCCCAGGTAAGTTGATGCCTATTTCTATTGGTGATTGATGTCAAGGAGTTATAGCAGCTTATTTGCTCTAGGAAACTAGGAAACTCATATCTAGTTGGAGAAAGCATTACCAAGGTTACAGGCAGAAGGATGAAAACCATGACCTGCCCCCTCAAATTCCAGCTAAGAGGGGAGGATGCAGTACTAGCAAAGTTGTATTTCAGGTCCAGAAGAAGGTTTTTAAAATGCTGATGATTGTGCATTAGTAGCAGTTGGGAACTTTTAGGGAGGGTGGAATGGATCATTTTGTTAAAAGAACTATTCTTATGCCCACCAGCTTTCTTCCTTTCCAGGGATCAATCAGTTCTTTCCTAGTAAGGTGTTATTGTCTTCACAGTGCTTGAGAAAGATGAGGAAAACCTTGAAAAACAATGCAAGTTTAGAATAGTTATACATTCTCTTCTATGTGGAAAGTATATAAGTAGCTCTCCTGTTTATCAAAGGGTTGTTGCCCCCTTTTTGCCAACTGAGAGATAGAAGCCTCTGTGATGACCTCGTTTTTTTTACCAAGACAAGATTTGGAATCTCTTGGTATATTCCAGATGCTCTTTTAAGGGACATTGTTCTGTTCTCCTTAGGTGAAAAGGGCTCTGCTGGGATACCTGGAAAAGCTGGACCAAAGGGAGAGAAAGGAGACAAAGGAGACAATGGTAATGTATCTCCAGAGATCCATTTTTTAAAAAAATATTGGTTTTTAAGACAAACATAGACAAACAAAACATAAAAACATCAAGCCATCTTCCATATATATATACATACAGTGTGTCAGGTGGTTTACAAATTGTTTTGTGCTTCCATTTCGTAGTCTTCAATTACAATTACATTGTATATATTCTCATATTTTCAATGAAATATTAAATACATTAATATCATTGTTAATCATTTGACTATACTTTTATTCATTCATGTTTTATGAAATAATCCATATTTTACTTAATTTGTTTTATGATAGTTCATATTATCATCTCAAATTTATCCTACAATCATTTTGTAGATATAATAAAAAAAAAAGAATGCATCTTTATATATTTATTATTTTCTAAGAATCTACATATTTCATTACCATGTTTTATTGTCTAACCATTGATAGAATAGATCCAAATTTTATAAAATTGTTTATCATTTTGTTCTCTGATTTCAAATATCAATCTACTCATTTCAGCACATTCCAATATTTTCTTAATGATTTCCTCCTGTAATGGTATTTTCTCATTTTTCCAGTTTTTGGCAAATAAAATCTTAGCCGCTGTTAATACATTTACAACCAGGTATTTCAATTCTTTACTATATATTTCAGGTAAAATTCCCAATAAAAATATCTCTGGTTTCAAGTCTATATGTTTTTTTGTCATTTTTTCCAACCACGTGTGGATTTTAGTCCGATATTTTTTGGCATCCGCACAAGTCCACCATATGGTAATATGAGCCAGGTGTCTGATGACATTTCCAACATTTTTCAGATTTGTTCTTGAACATTCTTGCTATTCTTGTTGGGGGGAAATGCCACCTGTAAAACATCTTATACAAATTTTCTTTATATACTGTTGACATTGTCATTTTATAATTTTGAGACCACAATTTTTGCCATTTCTCTAGATCAATCCCATATCCAAAATTCTTCCCCCAAGCAATCATAGTTTCTTTAACTTGTTCTTCTTCTAATTTAATTTCTAATAAATATCCATATAATTTTTTAATCACCTTTTCATCAGTACCTGTCAAAATCTTATCTAAGTCAGTCAGTTTATCATAGAAACCTTCTGTTTTAAAATCTTTGTCATACCTTGAATGTATTTGCTCATGTGAAAAACCAATTCATCTTTATACCTTGGTCCTCTAATTTTTGCATAGATTTAAGTTCACCCTTTTCATTCAATATTTCACCATATCTAACTGTTCGTTCCTTTTAATATATTATAGGATAAGAAAATGCTTCAATAGTTGATAGCCAGACTGGAATTTTCAAATAACATTGCCTTCTAGTCTTCTCCCAATTTAACCACAGAGACTCCCGTATATAATGTCTTCTAAAATACCCCTGTGTTTTAGTTCCTTTATTCCATAGAAAAGCATGCCACCCCAACAACAGATCATGTCCTTCTAATGGCAACAATCTAGTATTTCTTAATGTTACCCATTCCTTAACCCACATCAAATTTGTAGCTTGGTAATACCACTCCCGATTAGGCAAACCAAATCCTCCTCTTATTCTGGCATCTTGCAAAAGTTTTAACTTTATTCTCGCTTTCTTACCTTGCCATATATATTTCAACACAATTTTATTTAAATCTTCAAAATAATCTTTTCCAAGCCTAACTGGAATTGTTTGGAACAAATATAAAATTCTGGATAGTATATTCATCTTGATTCATATTCTCCCTAATAATGACAGTTGTAAATTTTCCCATTTCACCAAATCTAGCGCTATCTGCTGCTTAAGTTTAATATAATTATTCTCTTTTAGTGTACTGAATCTTGCTGTCAAATGTATCCCCAAGTACTTGATCTTATTTCGTGACCTGAATTTTCAATACATCCGCCAGTTCTTCCTTTTGTCTTGATAGCATATTCTTTGTCAAGATCTTTGTTTTACCTTTATTTATTTTCAAACCAGCCACCTTTCCATATACCTCTATCTTTTCTATCAATGTTGATGCTGTTTCTAGTGGGTCTTCTAAGATGAAAACCAGATTATCTGCGAACCCTTGCAGCTTAAATTCTTCCTTTTAATTTTCATCCCTTTTATATCCTTTTCTTCTCTAATATTTCTGTTTAGCACTTCCAAGGTTAACACAAACAACAAAGGTGATAGTGGGCACCCTTGTCTTGTTCCTTTTCTTATATCAGTAGAGTCTGTCAGTTCTCCCTCTATCATTACCTTTGCCATTTGCTTATGATATATAGCTTCTATTGCTTGAATAAATTTTTTACCAAAGCCCATCTATTCCAGCTGTAATAACATGAATCGCCAATTCACATTATCAAATGCCTTCTGTGCATCTAAAAATATCAAAGCCATTTGTTTTTCAGGGTGTGCCTCATAGTATTCCAAAGTGTCCAAGATTACTGTCATATTGTTTTTAATTTGTCTCTTTGGCAGAAATCCATTTTGATCAGGATGGATAAAGTTGTTTAAGTATTTTTTAAGTCTTTCTGCCAATATTAAAGCAAAAATTTTAAATCTGCATTTAGTAAGGAAATAGGTCCATAGTTCTTGATTTGTAATAGGTCGGCTTCCTCTTTAGGAATAAGTGTAATATAAGCTTCCGACCATGATTTGGGTATCTTCTTCTTTAACATAACTTCATTCATAACTTCTAGCAATGGAAGGTTCAACCATTCTTGGAGTGTTCTATAAAATTCTGCCGGAAGTCCATTCGGGCCTGGGGCCTTTCCATTGTTTTGCTTCTTAAGTGCTTCAGTTAACTTCATCATCGTTATATTGCTTTCTAACATTATTTCAATCTCTTTAGGTATCTGGGGAAGATTAGCATTCTGTAAGTACTGTTTAACTCTTTCCTCATCAATATTCTCTTGTGTGTATAGTTTCCCATAATAATCTCATATAATTTCCTTCTTCTCTTTACTACCATAGCAAACTTGGCCTTGGTCATCTATTAATTGCAATATTTTCCTTGATTCTTTCTCCTTTCTCAATTTATATGCTAACCATCTACCTGGTTTATTTGCATCTTAAAAATAGTTCTGTTTCGCACCTCTGATTTTCTGTGCTAGTTCTTCTTTTTCCATTAGTCCCATTTTATGTTTAATTATATCCATTTTTAACTTAATGTCCTTTTTCTGTGGCATTTTCTGTAGCTCTTTTTTAAGTCCTTTATACTCATCCTCTAATGCCTTGGAGGCTAGTCTTTTCATGGTATTTCTTTTCCTTGTATAGTCTATTATCAAGCCTCTGACATATGCCTTCATTGTATCCCATACATTCTGCATTGATGTATCTTCTTTTTTGTTTTCTCTAAAGAAGAAAGCCAGTTCTTTCTTCATCCATTGTGTGAAGTCTTTTTCCTTCAATATAGTATTATTTAACGTCCATCTAGATCTTCTTCTTTGACCTTTCCATTTAATTGTCATTGGATTGTGATCTGCCCAAGTACGTGTTTCAATATTTATTTCTTGAATATTAGCTAACAATTCTGTTCACATCCATATCATATCTATTCTGGACCACGATAAATGTCTGTTTGAATATAAGGTATATTGTTTAGTCTTAGCATTTCTTTCTTTCCATGTATCTTTTAAATTTATTTCATCTATCATTTAAAAAAAAGATTTAGGGAGAGTCTTTCTGTTTTGCTTTGTTATTTTCTGTGCTGTATAGTCCAATTTATTATCTACAATTCCATTAAAGTCTCCCATCATAACTATATTAGCATAGTCCAGTTCAATTATTTTCATATGTAATTTTCTATAAAATTCTTCTTGATTGTCCTTCGGGGCATAGATTGCAATCAGGATTCTTTTCATATTATTGTCCATTATTTCCACCATTAGTAATCTTCCATCGTCATCGGTATAGATCAATTTCACTGGGATAATATCTTTAATGTATAAAACCACTCATCTTTTCTTGCATTGTAAATATTTTCCCTAATTTTGGCTGTATCAGCAATTGTTCATGTTGCTTTTTAATATGTACTTCTTGTAGGCAGATTATATCAAATTTTAATTTCTCTAATTTATGGAAAGTTTTCCTTCTTTTGACAGCTGAGTCAAGTCCATTTATATTAATTGTAATCAGTTTTTTCTCTTCCATGATTATATTTTGTAGTTAGGTTTAGCAGCTCTCGCAGATTCCAGAGATCCATTTTTGAATGAGGGAGATTTATGGAAATCCCAAGTCTCTGGGCCTCCAAACAAATACTCTTCCTCAAGCGTCTACTTTGGTGATCACTCTGCAAGACAAGCTCTTTGCAAGTGTATTTTCTACATGTTTATTCCTCTATGCAAGAAAATAGATAACAAACTTGCATAAAAAGAGGAGTTGTTATACAGATAGTTCTCAACACATGAGCACAATTGAGACCAAAATTTCCATTGCTAAGATGGTTGTTAAATAGGAATTGCCCCATTTTACAACCTTTCTTGCCACCATTGATATGTGAATGGCTGCAATTGCTATGTTAGTAACATGACTGTTAAGCAAATCTGGCTTCCCCAGTGGCTTTGATTGTCAGAAAGTTGCCAAGGTGACCACAAGGGGACACTGCAGCCATTATAAGTATGAACCAGAGAGGAGAAACTGTAAAATACTTCATCCTTTTACTTGGGACCCTGAGTCTATTCAGCTCAAAAGCCACTTTTTTCCTCTCTGTTTCCACAGGGGAACCCTGCCGCTTAGAAGGCTGTCAGCCGGAAGGTATGTCTAAGCATTCTCCCATTCAGTCACTTCAAACTTCCTCAGATAATTGGCACAAATGCCATCAGTTTGGTTTTATCTTCGTTTTCATCTCCCTTTGTTTGACCTTTATCACTCAGGATAATAAATGGAAAACTGCCTGAACAGGTTAGAATGGATTTTAGAATAGTACGAATTCTCTGATCACAGTTTAAGGATCATTGTGATGCATTTCATCTACACATATCAGCTTTCCCCAACCTGTGTCTTCTAAGAATGTTAGACTCTAGCTCCTATTACCTCCCCTCCCCGATAATGAATGGCTCTGTTTGGGAGAAACCTGCTACATATTCAAATACTGTATGTTTTATTCAGGTCTTTAAGAATCTGTCTAAACCAGTGGTTCCCAAACTTTTTCAGTCCACCACCCCCTTGGTGCTACAAACTCATCTTCAGTGCCCCCCACCCAGGGGTGGTTCTGTGGGGTCGCCTAATTTGTGAGTGTGGCTTGGTGGTCATGTGACTGGCAAACCAAATACAAGTGGTCCTCGCTTAATGGCCAGTTGCTTAGCAAGTGTTCTAATTTATGACTGACCTCCCCAGAGCTACTTGACCTGTTTTTGAGTTTTGACAGCCATGCACACACACACACACATACACAAACTCTCCCTTCTAAACCTGCTGGAGCTGGTGGTTGGGCTAGATATCATGTTCACTTTCTCCTCCCTCCCTTTCTTTCTTTCTTTCTTTCTTTCTTTCTTTCTTTCTTTCTTTCTT